TTTCCTCTAGTAAAGTAACATTTTGTATTTGTGTAATACATTTGATACAATTAATGAACCAATGTTGATACATTAGGTTCATTCTTTGTGTTTTAAAGTTCTATGGGTTTTGACAAATCCATAATGACATGTATCTACCATTATAGTCTCAGGATAGTTTGGTCACTCTAAAAATACTGTATATCACCTAGTCATCTCTTTCCTCCCTTTCCCCGGCACTCTGGTAACTACTAATCTTCTTAGAGATTTTTTTTTTTTTTTTTACTAATTTCTATAGTTTTGCCTTTTAAAAAAATGTCATATAGTTGGAAACATAGAGTATGTATCCTTTTCAGATTGACTTTCACTTAGCAATATGCTTTTAAGTTTCCTCCATGCCTTTTTTGTGGTTCGACAGCACATTTCTTTTTATCACTGAATCATATTCCATTACATGGGAACCACAGTTTGTTTATTCATTCACCTATTGAAAGACATCTTGGTTGCTTCCAGTTTTTGGCAATTATGAATAAAGCTGCTATTGATATTCATGTGAAGGATTTTGTGTGGACTAAGTTTTTCAATCAATTGGATAGATACCTTACAGAGCAATGGCTGAATCAGACAGTATAGTAAGACAGTGCTTAGCTTTGTAAAAAAAACCTTAAAACTGTCTTCCAAAGTGGTTGTACCATTTTGCGCTCCTATCAGCAACGAATGGGAATTCCTGTTGCTCTGCATCGACATTGGCATTTGGTATTGCCAGATTTTTGGATTTTAGCCATTCTAGTAGGCACATATATAGTAGCATTTCACTGTTGTTTTAATTTGCAGTTCCCTGAGGACAAATGATGTGGAGAATCTTTTCATATGTTTATCTCTATATCTTCATTGGTGAAGTGACTGTTCAAGTCTTTTGTCCATTTTTAATTAGGTTCTTTACCTATTGTTGAATTTTAAGAGTTCTTTGTATATTTTGGATCCAAGTACTTTATATATTTGTGTTTTGCAAATATTTTCTCCCAGTCTGTGGCTTGCTTCTTCACTTTCTTAACAGTGCCTTTCTCAGAGAGCAGAAGTTTAAATTTTAATAAAGTCCAATTTATATATTTTTTTCTTTCATGAATCACGCTTTTGGTGTTGTATCTAAAACCTCTTCACCAAACCCAAGGTCACCTAGATTTTCTTCTTATGTTATCTTCTAGAAATTTTATAGTTTCAGGTTTTACATTTAGCTCTAAGATCCATTTTGAGTTAATTTTTGTGCAGGAGTAAAAAAAAAAAACTGCGTCTACATTTTTTTCTTTTTTCTTTTTTTTTTTGTATATGGATGTCCCATTGTTCCAGTACCATTTGCTAAAAAGACTATCCTTCTGTTGAAGTGTCTTGCTTCTTTGTTAAAGATCAGTTGACAATATTCATGTAGGTCTGTTTCTGGGCTCTCTATCCTGTTCTGTTGATCAATTTGTCTATTCTTTTTCAGATACATTCTGTCTTGTTTATTGTAGCTTTATAAAAAGTCTTGAAGTCAGGAGGTGTCAGCCCTCCAACTTTGTTCTCCTGCAATATTCTGTTGGCTATTCTGGATCTTTTGCCTTTCCATATAAACTTTAGAATTGGTTTGTCAATATCCATAAAATAACTTGCGGGGATTTTGATTGGGATTGCATTGAATCTATAGTTGATCTATATAATCTATGAATTCAGTTAGGCAGAACTGACATTTTAACAATATTGAGTCTTCTAATCCATGAATATGGATTATCTCCCCAATTGTTTAGATTTTCTTTGCCTTCTTTTATTGGTTTTGTACTTTTCCTCGTGTAGATGCTGTATATATTTTGTTAGATTTATGCCTAAATATTTCTCTTATTTTTGGGTGCTAATGTAAATGGTATTTTGCTTTTCATTTCAAATTCCAATTGTTCATTACTAGTGTATAAGAAAAAAATTGACTTTTATATATTAATCTTATATCCTACTAACTTGCTGTAATCACTTACTAGTCCAGGAATATCTTCATCGATTTTTGGGGTTTGAAAGACATTTAATGGTCATTTTTCCTAATATATAGTTTATATCGCAATTTAGAGACTGATCTTTCAAATTTACATTCAAGTATTTGTGAGTAAAATAGTATGATGCTTGGATTTGCTTAACATACTTTTAAAAAATGTGGTGGGTACACTTGAAACTTACAGGATTTCATTAAGCAGTGTCATCATAAAAAAAATAGCGTTGGTAGGAGAGATGAAACAAGATTGCCAAAACTGAAATTAAGGAAGCTGGGTGATGGGTAGGTATCTGGAGTTTCATTATACTATTTTCTTGAACTTTGCATAAAGTTGAAATTTTCTAAAATTAAAAAATTAGATTTTAAGAATGGACAAATTATTTGAGATTACATAATAAGTTTTTATCTTCATAGGACATTTTTTTCCTTTCTTTCTTTCTTTCTTTCTTTCTTTGTTCCCTCCCTCCCTCTTTTCTTCCTTCCTTTCTTCCTTCCTTCTCTCCTCCTCCTCCCTCTTTCTGTTTGTCTTTCCTTTTTTCCTTCCTTCCTTCCTTCCTTTCTTTCTTTCTTTTTGATATTTCTCTTCTATTCTCCTAGAAGGTATATAATACATTTTGGAAGAATAACTGGTTGAATAGATGGGATAAATGGATGGATGCATGTCTTTTATCTTTTCTTCTCATCCATCTAAACTTTTAAGCTGGCATCACGAATATACTGAAACTTACCTGCACTGAGGGCCAGAAATATGATGAGCCCGTGTGACGTCTATCACAGTACCTCAAATGTGTTTATGGTTTGATACTAGTACAATTTTACATTTCTGGTATTATTCTCCATTTAAGAATCATGGTGAGTGAATGAATTCGCTACTTGTCATAACCCTCAACTCCACCCTGTGAAGGAGATGCTCTACCCATTTTATAGAAAGAATTAACAAGCCTCTGGACTTGACCACAATTGAAACAGAATCATAAAACGTCAGAGTTGGAAGGGAATTTAGAACTTCACATTCTACCTAATATCAGAATCCATCTATAACAATCATCCATTTCATTTATTTAGTACTTTTCTAAGCACTGGGGGGAATACAATAGTTGAAAAAAAAGCAAAGTTCCTGTCTTCGTTGAGCTTACATTCCAGTGGGGGAAGAGAAAGTAATAAAAATACGTCTGAGGTGATAGGTACTGATGGAAGGAGAAAAAAAGCAGAAAAATCCAAGTGCCAGAAGGGTGGGTGAGTATGGGGCGGGTCACAATTTTAAATATAGCAATCAGGGAAGGTCTCAGTAAGCTGACAGGTGAGCAAAGCGAAAAGAATTCTAGCATTGGAAACAGCTATGACAAAGGCTCCAGGATGGGAGCATGCCAGTGTTCTCCAGAAACAGGAAGGAGGCCAGTGTGGCTGACATCAAATTAGAGAGGGGGAAGATGAGTCAGACAGGTAAGAGAAGCCAGATGGTAGGGGACCTTGTAGGCCACTGTAAGGACCTCAGCTTTTATTTTGAGATGGGAAGCTTATGTTTTAACAGGATCACTATAGCTATGATGTTGAGAAGGGTCTTCAAGGAGACAAGGCAGAAGTAAGGACACTAGTTAGGATGATGCTGCAATAATCAGTGCGCAGTAATAGTGGACGTGGAAAGAAGTCAGATGCTAGAAATGTTTTGAAGGCAGAATTGACAGGATTGGCTGATCGATCTGATGAGGTGAATGAGAGGAAAAGGAGTCAAGAATGACTCCAGAGCTGTTGGATGAATAGATTTGTCACTTACTGAGAAGACTGAGGAGGAGCAATTTGGGGCAGGGGTGGATGAATATAGGAACTGGACATGTTGAAGTCAGGAGGTGGAGATATCAAATAGGAAGGGAATTTAGAACTTCACATTCTACCTAATATCAGAATCCATCTATAACAATCATCCATTTCATTTATTCAGTACTTTTCTAAGCACTGGGGGGAATACAATAGTTGAAAAAAAAGCAAAGTTCCTGTCTTCGTTGAGCTTACATTCCAGTGGAGATTTCAAATAGGTAACTGGCTATATATGAAACTGAGTTCCAGGCAGGAGACAACACTTTGGGATTCACTAGCATGTGGGTGGTGACCAACACCTTGAAACTGGATGGGGTCACCTAAATAGAGACTTAGAGAAGAAAGCACAGGCTTGAACTCTGGGGCACTCCAACACTCGGAGGTTAGGGGACAAGGGAAAATATAGCAGTGGAGTCTGAGGAGGAGTAGCCAGCGAGATGGGGAGAAAACCAAAATACAATGGTATTCTTAAAGCCAAGGAAAGACAATGCTTCAAAGACAGCATGACCAACTTTGTTAAATGTGCTCTTAGGTCAAGTAAGATGAGTATTACAAAACTGAACACTGGACTTAGCAACGTGGAATTCCCTGTGAGCCTGAATGGAGGGTTCTGCGTGACTGGGAGGAGAGGCAGTGAAGACAGCAAACACAGAAAACTCTCTTAAGGAGTTTTGTTGTAAAGAGGGACTGAGGAATGGGGTAGTATCTAGAGGGGGGATGTACAATTGGGACAAGAGTTTTTTGTTTTTAAACAAGAGAAACTACAGGATGTGTGCATGCTGAGAGAAATAATCCAGTAGAAAGAGAGACACAGGAAGCAGCCACAGAGTGAAACTGTTTGAGCTGCAAGATGATTCCTACTGGTAACGAAGACATCGCCATGGCTGATATCACAGCTTATTGTTTATGGTCATAACTGAAGTAAATGCAAGCTTTCAGTTAATGAAAATAATATGCAATTTTTTTCCTGTCCTAGTTCACGAGACCCCTTGGTTTTAGGGTATGATCATGAGAGTGAGTGGCTAAGGTAGGATGGATGACAAGATCATTGGAGGGGAGGAGCGGGAACTGAGAGGCTGAGGGATTAGAGAAATTGTGTATGTGGACAGTGAAATCTCTGAGAATTCTGAAACAGTGTTAATGTTTCTAACATGGCAGAAAAGACTATCAATGCATCAGAAGGAGTACTTACGAGAATATCAGTGTTTTCAAAATAATTCCTCCAGTATGGTCTGATTTTCCTCTGTCCACCAATGTCCCACACATTCAGTTTAAAACCTTGCGATTGTACACTTTTGATGTTAAAACCCTGCAACAGAGAGAGGCAAAACCAAGTTTTATTGAGCCTTGAGATTATAATTCTGACAAAGTTACATCTACCAGCTGTTATTTATTAATTGAGGTACTCTGCCAGATGTGACACTGGTAATATTGAAAATGATTTTCTATAAGAGGGAAGAAAGAAATGCATTTATACATGCTCACTTTATTCAGGTTGTGGATTCAGCGTTAATAATGTCATGACTAACATGACTCTATAATAAGCGTGTGTGCGCACGCACGCGCGCACACACACACACACACACACAACTGCTGAGGATGACTTGGTATGAGAATAGCTCTGAAAATACAAACCACACCCCATCCTCAGGACGGTAAAAGTTAACAGGACATTACATGCAACTAACAAAAAAAAACCAAAGCTGAATCTGAAGACTCAAAAAAACAGAACAAATGCTAAATTTAAAAAGAGGAAAGAGCTATAATCTGGAAGACTGGATTCTTTAGGAGCAGTGCAAAATTAAAGAACTTCCCTCATATGGATTACTCAGGAAAAGGAAGGACACTATGGGGGAGGTTGGCTAGTAACTAGAGTACGAGCCCAGTGAAGAAGGTTGGGCCCGTGGGAACAGAATGTTCAAGCTCTGAAGTGGAGCCCTCAATTACAGGCAGTGATGAGAACAAACAAACTAGAGGACATTTGAAACTATAATAGGTATCTGTGATGAACTTCAAAAGAAAGTATTCATTTTCAGGATAGTTACTCAAGGTGAAACCTTAAGGAAGGTGAGCAAATCAGGGGCAGGAAGAATTGTGAGCTGGGAGTTAGTGTGCAGAGAAACAAATTAACGAGACCTTTGGGGTTCAGAGAGAAGGCATTTCATGAGCAAGCATAAAAAAAAATCATCTTGCAAAAATGATACAGTTGAATCTGGATTGGAAAAATCCAATCAACAGCTTACTATCACAGAAGTGATATTTCATCCAGAATAACTGGAGTTAAGTGGGTCTGGGGATCCCTTAACAAACATTTGCCTCATCTGGCAGCTTGCCAACACTACTGCCTAGCACAGAAGGGCAAGGCATAAAGCGATGGTACAGGAACACTGCCACCCAATTTCCCTTGAGGATAAATAGTCAGTAGAGGATAACTGGGGATGATGCTGACTGCAGCTCCTCTAAAATGCCAAGGACCAAATAAATTAGAAGTTTAAGAACTTTAAAGGGAAGTGGCTTAAGCTTACTGCAAAAGTCTGCTTCCTTCTGACTCACTGAGAAAGCCACCTTTGTGTGCTTAAAAATTCTATACTTAACTACAATATTGAATGTCAAATCCAGTAATATCAAATCCTTCTAAAAAGAAACAGGAAATAAATAAGAGTAAATTCCGGAATTCAACCATATGTATCAACTGCCTTAAAATTCTGTAAGTCATCAGACTTAACAAATCTACTAAGAAATTATTCTAAGGAAAAAATAATGGGTGGGTACAAACATTTAGATATGTGTATTATATAAGTATTTACATATATAACAAAGATATGTTATTATTACTAAGTGAAAAAGATGATACAAACAGCTTATTCTCTATAAGCCTTTATTTTGATTTGAAATATACCCATCATACATACACACCAGGAAAAAACTGAATGGATATAGTTCTAAATGTTAAGTGATTATGTATGAATGGACATCATAGGTGATTTCTAGTTTCTCAATTTTTCTTATTTATGCTTTCTAAATTGACTATAATAAGCATCTATTACTTTTCTAATACAGAACAAAAACACAATTAAAGTTTGTTTTTAAAGAATAAATATGAAAACTTGACATAATATAATAACAGTTATATATAACATATCAAACAAAGCCAGAAAGTTAGAACTGGAATTGGGTCCTTAATTTTGAGTTCACTTCCATGGTCATAGTGTAGAAGTCTTATTTTAGTGGTGCTCTTGAGAGACAAAGTCTATCCCTAATCAAGAAAACAAAAACAAAAACTCCCCCCCCCAAACAACAAACAAACAAACAAACTAGCCCTTCTTTTTCTGGTAGAAATCCTGACACTCTAATATGTGTTTTCACCCCTTCTAGGCCAGACTATTGTAATTTGCTCCTCCTTAGGCTATACATTAAATTTGTTCAGAAGCTGTAAAGTTGCTCATTTGGTAGTAGCTGAAATGACTTTTCTGCAAAGAGTTCTGAATCAGTAAGACTGATAAGCTGTGAAGTCCACATACCAGCACAGCCATTCAAACCCGACCAAGCTCTTATCACAGTATGGTGACGGGAAATGCCAAATAACCTTGGTTTTGCTCAAACCTCCTATGCTCAAACATTTTAAAGTGACGAAGACCGACAAGAGCTGTCTCTAGTTAGGAAACCCAAAGGCTTGGCCCAAGGTCAAGGTTTCTCAGGATTTCCTACAGGAAAGGAAGTCAAACGAAGCCAACTAGAGTTCTTCAAACTAGGATTTGTCTTTCAACTTCCACACAGTAAATGCCACCATTTCCTGATCCTTTGAGTTTTGCTTGCTTAGCCTTAGGAAGGAGGAGGGGTGATGAGGCTGGATTAAAAATTATAGGTAATTGATTTTTTTTTTAATTTAAAAAAATTGATGTATATATTTGTATTTGTCAAGTCTGGAAAATACACACTAAAATACTAACAGTGGCTTTTCTCACAGTGCTCTGATTTTCTCCTTTATATATTCTCTGTATTTTCTACAGGTATTAATTTCATAGAGAAGATAAAGCTATTTTTAAAAAGTAATCACTTAGATCTGAGGGAATTGGTTGTCTTGACATACATATTTCTTTGAATTATTTATTTTAAGAAATTATAAAATATACATAAAATAAAACTTACCCGTTTCAACCATTTTTAAGTGTACAGTTCAGTGGTATTAAGCACATTTGCACTGTTGTGGAACCATCACTATCATACACCCTTAGAACTTTTTTCATCTTGCAATATTGACTCTTGTGTTCATCAACCAACAACTCCCCATTTCCCCCTCTCTCCAACCCCTGGTAATCATTATTCTACTTTCTTTCTTTATGAATTCGACTACTCTATCTCGTATGAATGGAATCTCTTGATGTATTTTTGAAATCTTAAACTGTATAGACTTTTCTCAGTAACCAAAGTTAGAAATGGATGGAAATTATATTTCCCATGTTGCCTTCCATATTGCTATTATCATCTTCCATGTGTCCCACAAGCACCTGGGGCCAAGGCAGTGCTCACCTGCGTAGGTGTGATGTGGCTGATGTCTTCAGATGCAAGCTGCTTCAGAAGTGTAGTCTTGCCAGCATTATCCAAGCCCAGGAGAAGGAGTCTCACCTCCTGGTCCGGTGCACTTTTCAATTTGCGCAAAATTGAAAGTAAGCCCTTGAACAACCATGAAGAAGAGAGATTACTCTGGGGTACTGACTTTGCTATTACAAAATATCTTCTTCTTGAAAAAAAGTTCTTGGTTGTGGAGAGCTTAATTATTATTATTTTGTACTTTAATGTCATTTATTCCATTTGCTTCCCCCTTCTAAGTTTTGGCAGAAGTAGGTTAGTAAATTCAGCAACTTAATAAATAGCATGGCTTATTCCTGCTCCTCCTATTAATCCAGCTTAGCAGTCACCCAAAATCTCCTGAGTATAAACTACTACCCAACTCATGTTCCTAAAGCCCTTTATATAAATTTAGAGTATAGCACTCATATCACATCATAAGTAATTGACTTTTATATTCTCCTTTACTAGAGTGAAGTTTCCTGCAGATAAGAATTATAGCTTCTGTTTCCCACACACCTAGCATTTACTAGATAGATACTAGATAATAGTTGTTGAATTAAATAGAATTACCTACCCAAGTTAATGCACAATTTAAAGGTTCTATAGAAAGAAACACCAAAAAAAAAAAAGTTGTATAAAATAACATCTGGACTCTCTGTTTAAGATTTCATTTCAGTTCACATTTAAGTCTTCAGCGTTCAAAATACTCTACCATCATCTAACTTTCATGAGACCCTGACAGGATAGGTGCATGGTATGGATTACCTACGTTTTCAGATAAAGAATCTGATACATCAGAGAAGTTAGGAAATTATAAATGTCACTCATGAAGCAAAAAACATCAAAATCTAACCAAAAAAAATTTAGACTAATAATCTAATATTTGTTCCTTGTTGTTACAGTTATTTTTTATAGACAGAAGTAAAACATGTTGCTTTTTACCTAAGAGCATAAGAAAACTCGTAAGATAGTTACTTCTTCTGTCTTGCAGCTGACAAGTTTGTTCTAGTGAGGCATGGTTACAACAAGAATCGAAGAATCCCAGAGTTTAAAGGGCATATAATCTAATCTCCCAGCCCAAGCAGAAATTCCTTCAAACTGAGTCTTAGGATTATTTTAAATGATCATATTTTTATCTACATCACACCATGCAATAATTCAAACCAATCTGTTCACTAAGATCAAATGATAATTCTGTGAAATAACTCTCAACAATAGAGTCTTTAGACAATGACGTGCAAATATGCATAATTAATAAGAATTCCTTTTTCCCCAGAGGCTCTTTGTTTACCACTTGTAGTATTGTATTTGCACTGACTTGCTAAGGACAACATTAATCTCTCTATGCCTCAAATGTTCCCAGCAATAAAATGGAAGGTTTGGTTTAAGTCAGAAAGACAAATTCTGTATCAAAAGATTTGGGGAAGAGAAGCTGAGTAGATGTGAAACAAACAATAAAAAGGCAGGTTTGTTTTGTTTTGTTTTGTTTTGAGGCAAAACATTTATTTTGTTTTCATCTTATCTGGCCTTGAATACTTTGACACCATTCTTTTTAAAAACTATATTTATGAGAAGTCTCCCTGGCTTCTGTTAGCTACATTGCAATCACTCATTTATAATACCACCTTTCAGAACAGTTAAAATTAGAATTCTGAGATCCTCAGGGGACTGGGGATATAAAAAGGCTAAGAATAAGGAAAACACATTGTACTAATCCTGAGTTCCTGATTAGGTGTCCTCATTACCTTTCCAATAAAATTCTAGAACAACTAGAATTTATCCCATTAGTATATTAAATGACAGTACAGGTTTAGTCTTCTCATGCATTATCTACTTAGCATAAAAATCATGAAAGGTTCGTTTTCTATAAAATATTTTCAAGGTTCAAAATGAATGTTTTAGGGTTTTCCTCATGTGTCTCTTCTTTTGAAAAATCAGTAATGAAAAACACTGCATTCTGTAGTTTGAGACTTTTTACATAGTTATCATATCTGAAGTTGGATAATTAAAAGAAAAACATAATTTCTATTCATTTTAAAAGGAGAGCTGCAAAACACAGACAAAAAGGAAACCATTCTAACTATAGCTAAACTTCATTAATCTCTTGGTATAAACAAAAATACTTATATATTTCTACTGAATAACTTTCTTCTTCAAGAAACAATGACCTCAGATGCTTCCCCTTTAAGTGAAATTACAGAGAAATGGAAAGTTCAGCTAATATTTTCTTCCAGCAAAATAATAAATGGCATCTCAAGCATGGTCTAGGTGAGACAAATGCAAATACAATACAGCATCATATTAATCCAACTACTGAGGACAGAGGATCACAGGATTATCAGGGTTTGCTAAATAGGGAAGAGGATATTTATAGATATCAGGGTTCTGCCTGAAAGGTACAAAGTAAGCTGAATTAAGAGGCTAGAGGAAAGAAAACAGAATTAGTCCATTCTATGCTTCTATCTATATGTGTCCATACTATATATTAAATGTCAAGTGCAGGGAGGCGACATTGAAGTTAATTTTATTATGGAGCTGAGTTTTGCAGTATAAATATAAGAAAATGGATTTTTAAAGTGTTTTTGCTCAAAATATCTATTCATTTATTCATTCATCATTAAATATCCATAATGTGCCAAATACAATAGAGAGCAAAACAGATATGATCTCTATGTAGGATTTTTACTCCTATGACTTTAAATAAAGGCAATATAAGAAAAAAAAACTTTAGATGGTATGTTATCAGCATGTGTTATTTGCGCCCTGGTGGACAGAAGTGGTCTGACTCAGCTATAAAACATTTAAACAAACTTTTCTATAAGCAAATCATAAATAGATATGCTATTGACTACAGACATTTTATCTGTCTCAAAATCAGCTTAAACTTAACTACTGGCAGAGGCATGGCGCAGTGACCTAAAATGATACAAACTAGGTCATTCAAAGAAACTGGTGTGGTGGAGGGGGAAATAGGAATGTGGTGGTATATGGAAAATATATGTGGCTGTGAGGAGCAGCTAAAATTTAAATATTAAAACCAGTAAGCCTACTGTCAAGTACATGCACTCCCCATAACTAGCTTAAATGGAACTGACATCAATTTATTTTTAACTCCTTAAACTATCTAAAAAAAAAAAAGGTGCTGCCTGGTGAGACCTTATTAATTTCCAGGAACTCCCATTGCTTTGACAGGGAGAATCTCACCCAAACTTTGTCTTCTTTCTCCTCACCTTTCTACTAAATAAACACAGTGTTTCATGAGGAACAAAATATGGGCATCTCCTCAGAAAGAGTGGGTTCCCACTTCACCAGAGTCTTAATGAATAGAACACTGCAGGCTTTAGACTTGTATTCAGCTTCCCTATCTATGTAACTCCAGGCACAGTTAGACCTAGAAAATGGGAACGATACTTATATCGTAAGAAAAATACGATGAAGATTAAATAAGTTAATGTCTGTAAAGCATGGTGCATAGTAGGCAGTCAAAAGTAGTTGTGTTTATTATATTTTTACTCTTCACTGACCATTTTCTGACCAGTAAACATTATCTTGGGAACAATCTTCAAATGTTGAACATGCTTGATAACTAACACTAGGTTCATATTATAGGAAGTACTCCATAAGTGATTCCTGAATGAAGGAGTCATCTATTAAATAACAATGATTAGTTATGCATTAAAATTACTTTCATCTTAGTATTTCACCAAGGACTTAGTATATCCTAAGCCAGGGGTAAAATAGCTGATCCTAAATGTTCAGACAAACCAAGGGGTTTTGTTGCAGTACTCCCCCCCCCAATTATGTATTAGTCATAGCTGAAGGTTTAAAAAAAAAAAACAAAACCTGGAACTTACTGTTCAGTTGTACAGTTACCATGGGTGCTCATGGGATACCAGATGTGACACACTTAATCTAACACCACCGGCCATTTAAATTTCTGTTCCACTTTCAGTTCTAAGAATAACTCACACTTTTGTTGATAGAAAAAAGTGTAGTTTGGAAACCAGATAAAGAATCCAGAATGATTCGTCCTAATTTCTTATGTTCATTTTAGAAAAAAAAAAATCTGTCTTGATATAACAATTATATATAACAGTGTTGTATACACTGTAAATTTGTTGTATACAGTGTCAATTTGCACCTGGAAACATGAGCAGTCCTTAATTTATGTGGCCTGTAATTACAAATTAAACAGTCATAAAATTATACAGTCCACTTAAGTGATAAACTGGGAAAAGTTAGGTTACTCTTATGCATTTCTCATTTATGATGACATCTCATCTCTGTTGGTGTGGCATAACTTTTTCATTTCAATTGTAGTTATTTTCTGTGTAAATATTTATATTTATACTCATTTGCTGAGAAAAACTTAGCCTTTAAACGGACAGCTCATGCATAAACGCTTAATAAAAAGAAAACATGTAAAAATCTGTTTAGCCCGAGGTTAAAAAAACTGCAATGTAGCAAGTGTGAAATGTGATTGGCAACTTCAGATCAAATAATTCTACTTCTTTAGCAATCTGACTATGTAAAATCAATTGAGATTTTTTTTTCTATCAAAATTTACTGATTGGATAATCTGACTAAAGGTACACATATTTTTTTCTCTCGTAGACATCTAGCTTTTTCCTACTTCATAAATCAATAGAAGTGGTTCAACATTTTTAAGTCAGAAAGGGGCTGGGTACGGGGTAGAGAAGTAACTGTAAGCTTGAGTGCTGACTCTTTACAATTGTTAAGCCAACCAACCTGCTCTAAACACCTCAAAAATCAATTTTTCTTTGCTTGCTTTAAAACTACTCAATTCCATTTTAACACCCTCCAACTAATTTCACAGAAATCAACAAGGATCAGAGTATCAATGGTCAAATCCTCCGCACAGCGGAGGATCAAAGCAACATACATCATAATTTACAGTTGAGAAAAATTAGGTTTGACAGAGAAAAGGCTTGTCCTAGATTGATACCCACTCTCCAGTTTTCATTTCTCATTCTTTTCAGTTTGGAGACCCTAAACTGAGATTGCTTCCAGTGTGGTCATATGGAAAAGGTTGCAACAGGTTCTGAAGGAAATACCAGGGACCGGGCAGCAAATCTGCCTCCATTAACATGGATTAAGTATTGAGCAGAAGATTTGGTCATCACCAACAACCAGACCCTGCAGAACCCTCAGGAAATAAATTACTCGGGAATGCAAAAGCACTCCCTTCACGCAGACCCCACGGTGGCGTAAAATCCACCAGGCATCTCTTCCAAGAGGTATCTCGTTTGTGTCTTGGGACTTACACACCTCCCGCTAGAGAGAAAGGGCGCTAGGCTACCGCCAAAGCGACCTCAAACGCAGGAGCGCTGGTCGTGCTCCCCACTTTTGCCGGACCCGGTGGATCCCACTTTCCTGTGGCGTGTAGAGGCCGATTCCCTGGGAAGATCCTAAGCCTGTGTGCAGAGGCTGCTCTCAGCAGCTCCTCGGATCCGCCCTCATCCTAGTCCCCAGAGTGATGATGGAGCCCCGGCTCCGAAAGGGTACAGTAACGCACCCTACCAGCCCTTTGCCTTGGCTTCAGACCCGTTGCAAGCCCCGCCTTCCTCCCCAGGCCCAGGTCTCCCTCCAGGGCCCACACCTTCCCGGCTCCCCGCCGCCCCCCGAAACCAATCCCGGACCCAGAAGGCAGGCTGAAGGCCATCCCATTCCCTCCTTGGCTTTAAGCGCTGTGCCCCGCCCTGGGCCTGGGGACAGGAGGGGGGGTGACCAACCCGTTCCGGAGGGGCCCAGGCCCCCACACTCAGAGACCTCCCGCCGAGTCCCTCCTCCTCCTCCTCCTCCTGCCTCCCCCGTTACCAGGGGCAACTACTGCGGCACCGCCCCCGACGTCCCTCGCACGCACAGCGGAGGATCAAAGCAACAGGACGGGGCGGGGTCCTACTCCGCTTTCCTCAAAGTGCGCAAGCGCACCAAGGTGCCCGCCCACTGCGCAGGCGGGCTGCTAGGGAGGCTGGAGGTGGCTGCTGGCCTGTAGAGCCCTGGGAATGGTGAAAAGGAGCCCACGTGGCCGGCAGGGGCCGCCGGGCCAGTGCTCTGTAGGCAAGGCGGGGCGGGGCGAGGGGAGGTTCGCGAGGGGAGGTTCCCGGGCCGAGGTCCGCAGTGCACCCAGACTCTTCTTCCTGCGCAAGCTGCATCTGGTGACGTTCCTCCCGGGACCAGGTAAGTGGTCTTGGGAAGAGGCCGCACACCACATCTGCTTCTAGTCCTTATGTCTAGTAAGGAGTTTATATTTCTGCCCTAATTGCCCAAGCTGGGCTGCAGCGGGGGCTGGCTTCCACCTGCAGAAGCCACGTGGCGAGAGGAGTGGCCTGGGGCTGCCCGTGGATCTGAATGGTCATTAACTATTTATATATTCAAGTAAAGTATTTTTTAAAACTGCCACCTATAGGATTGCTTCAGATCCTTGGAGATAAAACTCATTTAAGAACCTTGACTAAGGAGGTGCAAGATGAATTGTTAAGTTAGAGCATAACTCCTACAATCAACCCATCTCTAGCCTGTTGGTTCTTTTGTGAGAAAGGCAAGGCAGACTTCTCTTTCCCAATTGTTGCCTTGGAGTCACATGAGTGTACATAAGCATACACCTAGTCCTGCTTGTTTAATTATTAGTTTCATTCTCCAACTTGCCCTAGGCAGCCTTGACACCAACCCTCGCCATCCCAGTGGTCTTTGTGTCTGACCTGAGTCTTTGGTTGCTTTGATCTTCTTGTGATGTGAGTACCAGCAATAATATTTTGTTTCTCTCCCTATCTGGGTATACATCTTGGGTCCTTCCCCTCCCTTGCAAGAGAATATCCCAGAGGAAGTGTGGAAGGCTGTTCTCTGAGCTCTGACATGTTTGCCAGGGAAAATCATATCTCTCTGGCAAGAAGAACATTACCTCAGGAGACATAGTAGGTTATTTCATTTTTCTTCCTTTCTCCCTCCCTCACAATTGAGTGTGCTTTCTCCACCCCTCCACCTCCCCCCCACCCCGCCATCCCCTCTCTCTTTCTCTCAAGTAACCTGTAGTAAATAGCGAGCCTATCTAGATGACCCTAAGCTTTGTGACCTTGGGAAAGTAAGGCCCTGGCTATTGTCACATCTAATGCAGGGCTATGTTTGCAAGGCTTAATCGATGTGAATCTTTCTAGGCATTAGTTTCCTCTGCTATAAACTGAGATCTTGGATTCCTAATGTCATTTAGGATGAGCTGTGACATTCTCTAATACTAGAAGGAAAAGGAGTTATTGGTCAATCATTGTTTGATCTCCACATCCCTACCTGTTCCCAGTAGTGGAACCATATTCTTTTATTAGTGGGGCCACCCCGAACGTGATAATGGCCTTTTTGGTAGTACTAGATATGGCTTATGTGGGATGAAGGAGAGTAACTAAAAGAAAACATAGAGACCAGATAAGATGCGGTATAGGCAGAGTAGACAATATCCACTTCGTGAAAGAAAGCCCGCTCTTCTATAACCAAGGCAGATTCTGAGTTTGATTTAAAAGAAATGATATCCTTGATGCCAGGAGAACCCAAAGATAAGTTGGAATGCATTTCAGGCAGGCAGTAAGTGTCTTTAGAGGGCAGATGGGAGATACAGCATGAACCTTACAGTCTGTTAGGGAAGACAGACTTTACACAAATAACTGTAAATAATAAGAAAGTGACAATTACAAAAGCCCAGCATGTTGCCAGGAATGACAGGATGCTATGGAGTATGGAACAGAAGGGCTGAATTGGCCCGAAGGAGTCACGGAATTGTGGGGCAGAGGTGTGGAGGGAGATGTTCCAGACATAGAATTTAGATTTTTTTTGTTGTCTTTTACATAAGACAGGGAGTTGGATATTTCTATTCTGACCTTAGTAATGAAGGCAAAGATTTCCTGCATAATTTAGCAAATGATTACCCCTTTAGTGTAGGAGAGCTTCCATGTGAAAAGGCAGAGGACTTTGCCTTGTTGGGTAGGGAGTGGAGCAAGATGGCCAAGAATTAGGGGGTGGGGTGGGGTGTGTGTGGGGTGTGTGTGTGTGTGTGTGTGTGTGTGTGTGTGTGTTTTAGGGGAGGCATAGCATTTTGCTCTCCTGGGCTGTCTCCAGGGGATGCAAGCATGGAGCTCTGTGAACCAAGGCAGCATGTGATCTGGTGGCCAGGAGTTTTTAGG